AAGTATACGTTAAAATCAGTTTTGCTACAGGTTGGAAAAGATGCGTTTGGGCCAACAAATATCAACAGCCTCAAGGCCTGTGGTGTTATGACCGATTACATTGACGTTAGCGAAAAAGAAAAGACTGGTTGCGCAACAATAACTGTCACAAAAGATGGTTATAATTCAAGACTTTTGGTGTTGTTGGCAAGTAGCTAATTGCAAAGCGATGAATCAGTGACTTGCCTGAAACCAAAAATGAAATGTTCCCATCGCTTTACTTTTTTGTCATCATTCGCTACCGTTCTAGGATTTGACGCTCCCGGATTTTATTTTTCAGCTGTCAAATAATAATCTGATATTCTTAATAATTATTTGTGTGATTTTGCGGTGCAACAGTGCCAAAAGCGCAAATTGTGATGAACCCGTCTGTGTGTTCTTGTGCTCCGTCGGTACTGTTACTTTAAATTGCTAACCAACAAAGCTTAGATAACCGAAGTTTTACAACACTTTGTACCCTCTCCAGGTACAGCTTTCTCACACATCCGTATCTCAAGCTTTCTGTAATGTCGGCTTTCTCACACATCCGTATCTCAAGTACGTCTTTGTGAATGTTTTGCAAGAAAACTGCTATCTTGGGTAGGCTGGAGAGTTTAATTTTAGGGCGGTGCTTCCTCCCCATATGTGGTTCATAGATTTCAAATTCAATTGGCAAGTGCGCCCTGGTCTTACGTACAGATACGTGAAAGTTTGGCGGGAAAACTACTACCTCGAAAACCAGGAAAAGCCTAGGAATTTGAAATTTTGATGTGATGTTTCTTATTCGTATATGATACAAAGATTTCAAATTTGTTTTGTAACTGCACCTACGCCCTGCAAGCGGACACGTGAAATTTTTGGCGAAAAATTGTTGACAACTTTCCAACTCTAGGGGCCAGGTGATACAGTTTAAGGAGTATGGTTCGTGTTGATAATGGACACCGGAAATTTTAAAATTAGTTTCCGTTTTTGCTCAAGTCTTACGTGTGAGCACGGACTTCCGGCCGAAGATTTTCCAAGTAGAGAACTGGGCAAAACAGAGGTAGGGAGATTTGCCTTCTTCATACAGCTTTCAATTACGCTAAGCTCTAGCATACGAACGCATGAAATTTGGAATTGCAAAATCTTCCAACTCTGCAACCAGAAAGGCTAAGAAGTTCAAACTTCTCTACCATGATTTTTGGCCTTACCTCTATCGAGAATTACGTCAGGGAACCAAACATCGTCACAATTTAAACCCAGGAATTCTACTGTGCTTCAAAAATAGGAAAATTCTGAAGCTCAATTATCTTCCGTCAAATAGGCAGCCGGATTAGCTGTTCGCAAAAACGTATAAT